CAGAGCATCTTTGGAAGCTACCAATTTTTTAAAAATAATTCTTGGAAAAATTATTTTCTTGAATATTTTATAAAATTCAGGTCATTTTATAAAATTTTGGCAGTAGACGACTCTTTTATGCAGTTTAGGAAAAAATAAGTAGGTTTGTTCTTCTTTTTGTTTTCTAAAGATTCTAGAATTCCTGATTTATTTAAAGAATCCAGAAACATTTAGCAAAATATATAATTTTCAACAAATTAGAATATTCTAGAAAGTTCATGAACATTTTTACAAGTTCAAAGCATCTTCAAAATTTGACGAAATTTTTTATGTAATTCTTGAAAATTTTACTTCTATGAATATATTAAAAAATAGGATTTAAAAAAAATGTCAGTAGCCTAACTTTTTATGCAGTTTATTAGGTAAAAAATAACTAGTTCCAGTCTTCGTTTTGTTTTTGATGGAAGCAAAAAAGTTTTTGACCAGATTGGGATTTGAACCCATGAACATTTCTACAAGTTCAGAGCATCTTTAAAATTTTCCGACATTTTAAAATAATTCTTGAACATTTTACTTTTATGAATATTTGAATTTTTATGGCAGTAGCCTACTTTTTTATGCAGTTTATTAGGTAAAAAATAACTAGGTCCGGTCTTTGTTTTGTTTTTTAGGAAGCAAAAACGTTTTTGACCAGATTGGGATTTGAACCGATGAACATTTCTACAAGTTCAGAGCATCTTTAAAATTTGCCGACATTTTAAAATAATGCCTGAAAATTTTACTTCTATGAATATTTGAAAAAAATTGGCAGTAGCCGACTCTTTTATGTAGCTTATATTAGGGGAAAAAAACATTTTGAACAGAGTGGGATTTGAACCCACGCCCTTTCGGACCAGAGCCTTAATCTGGCGCCTTAGACCAACTCGGCCATCTGATCAGTAGTGAAAGCCTCCGCCTTATGCCTAATAGTTCATTAGCTTTACCAACCACAGTTTGCAAAAGAAGCTTCTTTTGGTCCTTGCTGATCTTCTGTTATCTCTATTCTTACATAAAGCGACTTGTAATGGCTTAGCTGATGTACCTGATCTCCACTCCTTCCTGTGGGTGGTTAGGCAGTGGCTTGCTCTGATTTGGTTATAAGCAATGTCTCAAACGTTGCTTACCTTCGTCCTAGGCGCCTGCTGATGCTTTTGATGAGCTAAAGCCTTTTATGGTTATTTAGCTAGTCATAGCTCAGCTAAATATAATTTAGGCGCTTTGGATCATGTCTGGCTTTTGCTGCTTCCCTTTTTATGCTTCAGTAGTTGTAAAAGACGCAGTGGTTTCTGATAAATGAAATCGGAGGGGGGGGCCCTCTTTATCGAATAAAATAAATTAACAATTACTAGCCACATTACATATATTTAAACTAATCACAAATGTTTCAACCTTTTCTCCAGTTGCAATCATATATTTCAGAGTTGAAACCAACACAGATCACCCCATTTTTTCTCCTTGAGATTATTAAGCCAAAGACACAAGCATCTAGTCCAGAGGTCAGCACACCGAAGTTCTAATAAATAAAAATATTTTTAGGAGAATAAATAAACTAAAAACCATCCAGCCACCATCCGAGATATGTTTTAATAATAAACATAAACAATTTAAAAAATTATAATACTATTTTAGTAGTACCTCTTCAAAATACTGAATGTTTTTAACATTTCAGAACAATTTTTAAAACTTCTGTAGTACCCAATTCTTTTAGGCAGTTTACGATAGGTCCGGCTTTGATTTATTTTTATGGACAAAGAAACTTCTTTGACTAATACATACTACATAAGGCAGTCCGCACGTAAGTTGGGGGTAGCTACCAAACGCGCACTCTCCCACCCTCTGCATGGTAATGGCCGATCCAATCATGATGGTCTGTGTTTACCCGCCCGTGCTTTGGAATGTTCTAGAACCTAGACTAAAAACCCTCGACCATTTATTTTCTATTTTCCTTTTTTCCTGTTGTCGGTCTTATTCTTGTGTTCACATTTTTTGTTTAATGTTTTCTTTCTATTTTTAAAATTCACTTAATTTTATTAATTCATGAATGTTCAATAAATCTAGGAATATTAATAAAATTGTTGGGTTTTGTAAAAAAAATAACCTTTTAAATTTAGAATATTCTATTTTTAAAACATTTTTAAAATGTCAGAGCATCTTTGAAAGTTACCAATTTTTTAAAAATAATTCTTGAAAAAAATAATTTCTTGAATATTTTAAAAAATTCAGGTCATTTTATAAAAAATTGGCAGTAGACGACTCTTTTATGCAGTTTAGGAAAAAAAAGAAGTAGGTGTGTTCTTCTTTTTATTTTCTAAAACTTATAGAATTCGTGATTTGCTTACAGAATTCAGAAACATTTACGAAAATATATCATTTTAGTAAAACTTTAGAATATTCTAAAAAGTCATGAACATTTTTACAAGCTCAGAGCATCTTTAGAATTTACTGAGATTTTTTAAGTAATTCTTGAAAATTTTACTTCTATGAGTATTTTAAAAATTAGGATTTTTTAGAAAAAATGGCAGTAGCCTACTCCTTTATGCAGTTTATTAGGTAAAAAATAATTAGGTCCGGTCTTCGTTTTGTTTTTTATGGAAGCAAAAAAGTTTTTGGCCAGAGTGGGATTTGAACCCATGAACATTTCTAAAAGTTCAGAGCATCTTAAAAATTTGCCGACATTTTAAAATAGTTCTTGAAAATTTTACTTTTATGAATATCTGACATTTTTTGCAGTAGCCGACTCTTTTATGTAGCTTATTAGGGGAAAAAATAACCAGGTCCTGTCTTCTCTTTATTGTTTGGAGGAGGAAGGAAAAACGAATGTGAACAGAGTGGGATTTGAACCCACGCCCTTTCGGACCAGAGCCTTAATCTGGCGCCTTAGACCAACTCGGCCATCTGATCGGCTGTGTAAATCTCCACAGTTCGCCGAAGAAGTTACTTTTGGTCCTTGCTGATCTTCTGTTATGTCTACTCTTACATAAACCAACTTGTAATGGCTTAGCTGATGTACTTGGTCTCCACTCCTTCCTGTGGGTAGTTAGGTAGTGGCTTGCTCTGATTTGGTTATAAGCAATATCTCAAACGTTGCTTACCTTCGTCCTAGGCGCCTGCTGATGCTTTTGATGAGCTAAATCCTTGATGGTTATTTAGCTAGTCATAGCTCAGCTCAGCTAGATATAGTTTAGGCGCTTTGGGCCATGTCTGGATGTTACTGCTTTCCTTTTTACAGTATGTTTCAGTAGTTGTAAAAGACGCTGTGGTTTCCGATAAATGAAATCGGAGGGGGAGCCCTCTTTATCGAATAAAATAAATTAACAATTACTAGCCACATTACATATATTTCAACTAATCACAAATGTTTCAACCTTTTCTCCAGTTGCAATCATATATTTCAGAGTTGAAACCAACACAGACCACCCCATTTTTTCTCCTTGAGATTATTAAGCCAAAGACACAAGCATCTAGTCCAGAGGTCAGCACACCCAAGTTCTAATAAATAAAAATATTTTTAGGAGAATAAATAAACTAAAAGCCATCCAGCCACCATCCGAGATTTGTGCTAGGAAATAACCAGGTTAGCAATGGCGATTCGTCACAGAAGTCCGCAAGCAGTGAACTATTTATTGCTTTATGATACTGATCACCTCCTTTGCTTGCTGGTCTACGACGCTACAGACTATATAGACCTTTTCATGTGCATCACTATCACCAAATTCCTGCAAATAAAGGTGGGAAACATGGTGAGAACCCAGAGCTTTCTTAATCAATCAGCAATAAAAATTTGCTCATCAAAAGAAGTAACATAACACTTAGCAAGCAAACATTAAACTAGGTGCTCGTGCAGTACTTTGAAGATACAGATCAACAGTTTTGTACTGTAACCATATATTGATGGGCTAAATTGCTTGCTAACATCTACTACCTCATTTCTGATCAATTTGAACTGCAAAAACGTCTTGTATTTAGGAAAAGAGGCAGTAGTTTTGATATTTGGAAACAAAATGTGATACATTGATAAATACTAGTAGTTCACATACAAATGCAAGAACATAGAATCCAGATAGTGAAGTCAAGATTCGAGAGGAAATAGCAGATATTCCTTGTGCGAACATCACAAAAAGCAAAAAAAAAAAGAACATCACAAGAATTTAACTAAAATTTACTGATAAGATCATTCTGGTAAAGAAACATGATGCAGATCAAAAATAATATATTTGACATACTTAGGAGGGTACAATTGCTCCAAAGTACATTATATCAGTGCAGAAACTGCATTAGTGTACCAAAAATATCCAAAAAGTACATGCCGCGGTGATCACGCAACAATGATTATCTGGTAAGAAGTATTTCTAAAGGAATTTCTAGAATTGCACCGACAGTTCTGCCGGACACGGGAACACCGCTGAGATATCAGATATCTCATACATTCTGTCTTCCTAATTTAAATTTCCTTTGCTTAGAAGTATATCAGTATATGTGACTTGGGGAAGCAACAAGAGACAACACCTACACGTCTAGAAGACTAGCAACCCTGAAAGCTTAGACAATGACCTTTTCCCTTTCTTTTAGAAAAGACTTGAGAAAACTTGGACCTCCCAAATGTGGGCGGTTAAGCTCAATAACAGAGTGGTAATTTATAAATCAGTATATGGCCTGCCTTGGTCTGGATCATATAGTCATGGCTCACCCACTGGAATTACTACTTACAAATACAAGAATTATGTGTTATATCACACATGTAGAATTCACCACAACTTAACATACGGAGAAATTTCATTCACCGCAATCTTGTACAGTATTGTGACAAATGGGGTCATGAAACAGAAGAAATCAATGAGCCAAACAATAATTTATATCAAACTGACCCGTTCATAGTGTCTACAAGGAGCATCTCTTATGTACATTGCAACCACAACATGATCAAAGAGTACACGGCTATAACTTATCATTCCATACCTTACATTCTTCATCATCCTGGCCTCTCAGTTGGGATGCCGGATGATCCTTTGCAGCACGACGGTCCTTGCTCGGCGGATGTCTCGGCTACACCGGTCTGCCTGCTCCCCGAGGTCCTCGACGCTCTTCATGAAGGCCTCCAGCTTCTTCTTGATCTCCTCCACCCCGAACCTGACCGCCTCCTCGTCCCGCTCCGCGAAGTCCACACAGTCGACCATTGAGCTGATCTCCATCTCCACCCGGTTGATGAGCACCCTGATGTTGTCCAAATCCTTGATGGCGATGAACGTCCCGACCTGCATTGCGCTCACCACCTCCTTCTGCCCACGGACAGCGTCCTGGTACCCTTTGAGCAGCGAGTCGATCCACTTCCCCATGGACCCTATCGGAATCGCGGCCGCCGCGGCCAATGCCGCTGCGACAGGCGGCGCGGCTATGGCCGCGGCGACCACCGAGCAGATGAGCACCGCCGCGAAGGTGCTCGCGAAGATGACGCTCGACACCCGGCGCCACGCTTTGATGGTCTTGATTTTCTTGTCCAGCCGGTGCTTGCGCTGCTGCAGTTTCTCCAGCATGGCCAGCTGCTGCCGGTACACGGCCTGGAAGGCCTCGAAGAACTCGTCCGTGAAGGGGTCCCCGGCCGCCTTGAACTGGCGCAGCTCGTGCAGCGTGCGCGCGTACCGGGCGGCGGGCGCGGCGGCGGCGGCGTCGCCGTCGTTGTCGTCCTCGTCGTCGAAGCGCTGGAGGGCGACGTGGAGGAGGAGCTGGGAGTCGCGGGCGCGCTTGAGGCACTTGTCGAGCGCGGTGCAGAAGTCGAGGGTGTGGAGGCTGCTCTCGAAGTAGTCCTCGACGAGGTCGAACAGCTCGGGGCTCTTCCAGATGTCCTTCTTGCAGTCGAGGATGACCTTGACCACCTCCTGGTTCATGTCCAGGAGGCAGCCGGTGACCTCGCGGAGGGAGTCGAGCGACATGGAGCGCACCTCGACCCCCACCGCGAGCGTGGAGATGGCGCGGCTGGTGCGGCGCTGCAGCGTGGAGTCGAAGGTGCGCACCTCCGGGTCGTGCCGGCACGCCGCCTCGTACGAGCTGAGCTCCTCCGCCGCCGCGGCGTGCGGCAGCCCCGAGTCCGACGAGGTCGTCGGCCGGTGGGGCCTGCTGCCGCCGGCGCTGCTGCTGCTGGTGTTTCCCATTGCCGGAGGCGAAGATGGCCGGTGGCACCCGCAAATCAGACCCAGGATGGACGGACGGACTTCCACCGGATTTCGAGGAATCAGCAGCAGATCAGGAGCACGACGCGTCCCAGGACCGAATCGAGGAGCGCCTCAGCAAGCAGGACGGATCAGACCGGCGAGCATTGGCAGGAGCCCACAGAACCCTCGCAAGAAAACCCGGGGGCCGGGGAAGCGGATTCGAGCGGGGGCCAGAGGGAGAAGCTGCGAGCTTTACCGGCGGCGCGTTGCGTCGGAGCGAGCGGTCAAGAAAGCGAGGTCCGGGGGAGCAAGCTAGCTAGCAAGCAAGGAGATCGAAGATGAATGAGGATGAATGCAGGGAGGGGATTGGGGGTGGTTTTGTGGAGTGTGGTTGTTGTCAGGTGTGGGGATGGCTTGTACGCATGACGAACGGACGGGGGTGGAGGTGGAGGTGGCGGTGGAGATGGATGGGCAGGCAGCAATGGCCGCCGGCGGAAGCAACCTGATGCTTCTCACTCCATCTCTAGCGCGTGTGCGGCGGATGTGGTCTCATCTGATGATGCAATCGCAGCAGCAGTGTGATGATTGTTGGAGTAAACACACGAGCTATTGCGCGTGTTGCTGCCTTGATTAGTTTTTGTCTCGGGGAAGCAAGCAAAAGCAGCCCATCACCACAGCAGCAGAAAGGGAAAAGGCCAAAGTGCCACATCGAGTAATTTGCAAACTGATTTCTTTCGCAGCATTGCCCACTTTCTAGCTGCATTATTATCTGGTGTGATTAATTGCATTTAGTAACAACAGATCTTTTTTTTTCCCTCTCCATGGATGCATCCTTGAAAAATCTGCTGTTATTACTAGTACTGTACACTTTCTCTTGAAAAAATTCAGCTGGCGGATGGGTTTGAAAGCCGTCGTCACTCTCCGTTACCCCAGCTAAACGTTGTGTGCGCATCGTCCACTTGTCGCCGAAATGCTTGCAGAATCCCATACTCCATGCGTGCGTGCATCATCCAAACCGTGGCCGTTTTAGTTTTTCTTTGGTTTTCTTTGTGTGATCGCCAAGCTTCAGTTGCTTTTCTTTTTATCTGTCCATCTATCCATCCATCCAGCACCCATCCATGTGTTTGCTGTGCGTATACCTTACACTTGCACACGTCTTTTTTTTCGGAAAAAACTTTCAATCTAATCATATTCAATCATGGTAATACAACGAACAGTAGAAATAATAAAAATTACATCTAGATCCGTAGACCACCTAGTGACGACCACAAGCACTGAAGCGAGCCGAAGGCGCGCCGCTGTCATCGTTTCTCCCTCACCGGAGCCGGGCAAACGTTGTTGTAGTAGGCAGTCGGGTAGTCGTGGTCTTGATCAGAAATCACAAGGGCAAAAGGTGTGCTAGTAATAAATTATTAACCTATTTATTTTTTACTATATACTCCCTCCGTTTCTAAATATTTGTTAAAATTTCAACAAATGACTACATACGGAGCAAAATGAGTGAATCTACGCTTTAAAATATGTCTATATACATCCGTATGTGATAGTCTATTTGAAATATCTAAAAAGACAAATAGTAGTGTTTAGAAACGGTAGTAAGTCCACTGACATTACTGAGATCTAGTGCAAAGATTGAACAAGAGCGGTTTGGCGAGTGTGAACAATGACAGCACAGCACGGCGGGAGAAGAGAGGCGGGCACCCGCGCCCGGCCGGACCAAGGGCCAGTTCTTTTCGGCAATTCTCCCAGAATCGCCCCCTTCCCCAGCTTCTCCCAGAGTCGCCACTACATATTTTTTTTACAATCCTATCTAGTTAAGGTCTAATTAGTTAGGATTGTAAAAAACATATGGAGTGATGATTCTAGAAGAAGCTGGGGAGGTGGGCGATTCTGGTAGAATCGCCCAAAAGAATTGGCGCCAAATGGGACCGTCGTGGTCTGGTCTTTGCGGAGAAAATGACCTTTCCTTGAAGAAGGCACGCACGAGTATATTTTCCAGCGCACAGACGCGTGGTCCCATGCACATGATGGTCACATGATAGCTCACTCTGGTTCAGTTCTCACTTCCCAGGCCAGATCTGCTCCGTAAATTCACTAGCTGCGCCTTCTGTCCTTCCCTTTTTCTTTTTTTCTCGAGGGAACTCTTTTCCTTCGATCTGAACCGTGCATTTGGTATACGCTGACATTTGGAGTACAAAACTTTCTCACCCGTATTGATCACTTTGAACCGCATCTGAGCAGTCGAGGTGGCGGTAATTCAGTACACCGCCCGCTCGCCCGCTCGCAGGAAGTCGCCGCCACCCCACCGCTGTAAGTCCGGCCGCTTAACTGTTAGCGTGTCTGTTGACTCCCCGAAGACGTACGGCGACGCGCGCCATCTCAAGCCCTCTCGCGTCACTGCGAAGCAAACCGAATCTATCCGCGCCGCGGCGCACAGCCAGCCGAACACGTACTGTAAGACAATAAGTTTTGAGGGAACCAGCATAACCCTTTAGGAGTGGCTTATCTCATATATATATAATGGGTGTGTTACAATAGATACAATATACGTACACAAATACAGAAGCTATACATAATCTAACACCCTCCTTCAATCTTAGCCACTTTCTAAAGAACTGAGAAGGGTAAGATTGCGCCTACAAGCCTCAAACTGTGGTAAAGGTAAAGGCTTAGTGAAGATGTCTGCAAGTTGATCCTTAGAAGAGATGAACTTGATCTGGAGTTGCTTCTGCGACACACGTTCTCGTACAAAGTGATAGTCAACTTCAATGTGTTTCGTTCGGGCATGAAATACCGGATTTGCAGAAAGATATGTAGCACCGATGTTATCACACCAAAGGATAGGAGGCTGCGGTTGAGACAAACCCAACTCCTGAAGCAAAGACTGCACCCAGATAATCTCTGCAGTAGCATTAGCCACAGCCTTATACTCAGCTTCAGTACTACTACGTGACACAGTAGCCTATTTCCGAGCACTCCAGGCGATCAAATTGGAGCCAAAGAACACTGCATAACCCCCCGTGGATCGCCTGTCATCTGGACTGCCAGCCCAATCTGCATCAGAGAAGGCCGAAAGAACCCGAGAGGAAGTCGGCCGAATATGCATCCCAAATGTCACCGTGAACTGAACATAACGAAGAATGCGTTTAACAGCAGCCCAATGAGTGTCTCGAGGAGCCTGAAGATACTGACAAACCCTGTTAACAGCATAAGAGATATCTGGTCTCGTGATTGTCAAGTACTGAAGCCCACCAACAATGCTCCTGTACTCTGTGGCATCCGCAGGAGACAGAAGCTCACCATCAACAGCTGTGATCTTGTCGGTAGACGACATGGGTGTGGTAGTCGGTTTGCACTTCAGCATACCAGCTCGCTGCAACAAATCCAAGGAGTACTTCTTCTGCGCAAGAACAAGACCATCAACACGAGAAGTGACCTCAACTCCAAGAAAGTAGTGAAGCTTCCCAAGATCTTTGACCGCAAAATCAGCACCAAGAGAGCAGACAAGAGCATCAGCAGCATACTGAGAAGAGCTGACAAGGATAATATCATCGACATATACCAAAAGATACATAGTGACTTCTGGCTTCTGTTGAAGGAATAATGAAGAGTCAGCAGTGGACGACACAAACCCATGAGCACGAAGGGCAGAGGCAAGGCGGGCATGCCAGGCACGAGGAGCTTGCTTCAGACCATATAGTGCTTTGGTGAGACGACAGATATGGTCAGGATGATCAGGATCAGAAAAACCAGGCGACTGTTTCATATAAACCTCTTCCTCCAAGAATCCATGGAGAAAAGCATTCTCCACATCAAGTTGACGAAGTGACCAACCACGAGAAACAACAAGAGAAAGAAGAAGCCGAATGGTGGTAGGCTTGACGACGGGACTGAATGTGTCCTCATAGTCAAGACCATGGCGCTGCCGAAATCCTCGAGCAACAAGGCGCGCTTTGTAACGCTCAATAGATCCATCCGAATGCTTCTTCACTTTGAATACCCATTTGGAGTCAATAACATTTACCCGTGGTGGTGGAGGAACGAGAGTCCATGTCTTGTTACGAAGAAGAGCATGAAACTCCTGCTCCATAGCCTGTCGCCAATGAGGAACGCGCATGGCAGCCTGATATGAGCGGGGCTCAGAGGACGGATCCGCAACAGCAGCAGCCAAACAAGCAGCCAACCAAGCAACAATACCATTCTTATGTTCCTTAGGTTTGAAAATGCCACTGCGACTGCGTGTATGTGGTCGGGACACAGGAGCCGCTGAGGTCGACGGAGCAGCCGACAATGGGCTGGAGGACGGCAATGTAGACGAGTCAGCCGGCGCAGGTGACGAGGAGCCAGACGCGGTGTCCTCAGGCGCAGTCGGCGTAGCAGCCCGGCCCACAGGCGATGCCAGCGGTGCAGACAGAGCTGCTGGCGATGCCGGCGTCACGGACCGAGCCGAGGGCGAGCCCGGCATAGTGGGCCGAGGCACTGGCGAGGCCGGGGTCGCAGGCCGAGCCACGGGCGAAGGCAGCGTGACGGGCCGAGCCGTAGACGACTCCGGCGTAGAGGGCCGAGCCACTGGAGACTTGGCGGGCGCTGGCGTAGCAGGCCGAGCAGTGGACAAGCTCGGCGCGACGGGCTCCTTGGCCGACCGTGCATGGGCACGCGAATCGATGCCATGCAACATAGGGCGATCGACGTGCCCATCAGAGGGCGGCGATGATGATGGTGAATCCTCCAACAACTCCAAGCGAGCCCCACGTCCGGTTCCTGCACCATGGTTAGGTAACAACACATGAAAGTATGCAACATCATCAAATTGGTCAGAAGCAACAGAGGATGAATGCAGAGGTGGTGGTTCGGCAGTGGACACAGGAAGTTTGGCAAAGGGAAAAACATGCTCATCAAACACGACGCCCCGAGATATATAGACACGATTTGTGGGAACATGAAGACATTTGTAACCTTTATGAAGAGAGCTATAGCCAAGAAAAACACACTTCTTGAAA